ATACTTCTGAGTGATATCCTATTGTAACTGAATGTTTGAATTTGATAGGTAAGCAAGAGCTTGTTTTCTCTCTGCTGAATTACACTCACTAATTGCTGATTATAGAGCTAATCTACTTGACAACTAGCTAGTTACTATTTTTTTGTTCCTTCCACAATGCACACTAAAAACTTACTGTTAAGCCTAAATGTACAACTAACATTTATTGCCTGATCCAATCTATCTAATTTTGGCACCATCTGCTAGTTAGTTCTCCTGTGAAAACTCAGTTGGGGGGGGGGGGTAACCTTAACAAGGCTGGTGAGGGAGAATCGCCGAGTGGAGTGTCCCCTCCATCTAGTCTAACAGTGGAAATTAAGATTTTCCATGGTGTTCATCAGTGCAGGCTGTGCATTCAATCAATTGGAAAACTACTGTTGACATATATAGGAACAGAGTTAGCCAGGACTGACAGCTTTTGATAACTCAATCCTTAGCAATCAAGAAAGCAGCAATAATGCTTTTTGAAATGCTACGGAACACTAAAAGTTTCAGTTAAAAACACACACTTATTCCACTATTTCCAATGGCACAATATTCACAAAAGTTGGGTCATGTTTCAGAAATGCCGTTTCTTTGCATAACGTTTACAATGTGTGCCCAACATGCTATCTAACTCTCTTTCCATGCACAGATGTACACGGAAACACGTAAGACCTTCTGCTAATCAGAAGAACTTTCTGTTCTGGAATCTGGCAAGGTCTTCTTGGCAGAAATAAGTACACATGGGTCCTATTCAACAGGTGGGAAAGGAGATGGCAGGGAAGTTAATATCCCCTAGCAGCATAAAAACACTCTGATCTTAAGTGTTATTTCTGCAAAATGGCTTTCTCTATTCTTGAGGCATAGTAAATGTCAAGGAAAGTCCTTGGTGGATCAATCACCTTTCATGCCTGAGATGCAATCACAACATTTCAAGCAATGAAAAAGTGATATATGATTTCATTACTAGCTGAGGGAAAACATTATGACCCCTCCAATGTATAGAAACAGCTAATCTGCTAAAGGTACATGCAAAAACAAAAAAATACCAAAACTTAGTCCAAAGCCCTGTGTGATTAGATTGTTAGTACTGTATATACTCGTGTATAAGTCTAGAAATCTTTGACAAAAACTGGGTTAACTTAACCATGGGTCAACGTAAGTATTGTACCTTAATTCTTATAGAGAGCTAGCCGTCCCCTGCCACGCGTTGCTATGGCCCACTCTGGTGGTCATGAGGGTTCTGTGTGGGAGGTTTGGCCCAATTCTCTTGTTGGTGTGGTTCAGAACCAACGAGAGAATTGTGATGGTAGGTGAACTATAAATCCCAGCAACTACAACTCCCAAATGTCAAGATTCTATTTTCCCAAACTCTACCAGTGTTCACATTTGGGCATATTGAGTATTTGTGTAGAGTTTGGCCCAGATCCATCATTGTTTGAGTCCACAGTGATCTCTGGATGTAGGTAAACTACAACTCCAAAACCAAAGGACACTGCCCACTAAACTCTTGCAGTATTTTCTGTTGGTCATGGGAGAACTGTGTGCCAAGTTTGGTTCAATTCCATCGTTGGTGGGTATTCAGAATGCTTTTTGATTGTAGGTGAACTATAAATCCCAGCAACTACAACTCCCAAATGACAAAATCAATTTTTTTGAGTGAAGGACATACATTGGGTTGTTAGGTGTCTTGTGTCCAAATTTGGTGTCAATTCGTCCAGTGGTTTTTGAGATCTGTTAATCCCACAAACAAACATTACATTTTTATTTATATAGATCACTGGTTCTCAACCTGGGGTCCCCAGATGTTTTTGGCCTTCAATTCCCAGAAATCCTAACAGCTGGTAAACTGGCTGAGATTTCTGGGAGTTGTAGGCCAAAAACATCTGGGGACCCCAGGTTGAGAGCCACTGATATAGATTGAGATGAGTGGCAAAAGGCAAGAGCTTAGCCTATGCTGGGAGAACCAGTATCCTCTACTCCAGTGCTTCTCAACCTTGGGTTCCCAGATGTTTTTGGCCTACAACTCCCAGAAATCCCAGCCATTTTACCAGCTGTTAGGATTTCTGGGAATTGTCAGCCAAAAACATCTGGGGACCCCAGGTTGAGAACCACTGCTCTACTCTCCCTGCTACAGCACTGCTTCTGGTCTCTTTGGCAGTGCTACCATTTACCATTTCTATAGAATGACGCTTGACTTAAGCGACAGATCATATCAAAATTCAGAATCTTGGCCCTCAACTGATACAATAGGCTAACTTATATATGAGTATATACAGTGGTTCTGAATGGTTTCAAACAGTTTGACTAGTAATTTAAACCTCAATGAAATAATCCAAGTTTTTTTAAGAAAGGAATCTGATGAACCAAAACATTTCTAATTTACTGAGTTTCCTGAGACTTTTTTTTTAACCTGAACTCTGGGATTGCCAAACTGAAATGATTTTAGAAGGTTCTAACAATATGATAGTGACAGTAAAAGCCAATGATGAATTGTGATTTGAACAACAGCAGTTATCAAAACGCTATTGATATGGGCTATAGGGAGTTTTTACTATAAAATGTAAAGAACAGAGTAGTTGCTGGTTAAAGGTTTGAGAAATTGCTACTCTGGTCCTTTTAGTAAAGTCTTTTTTATCAAGAAGAAAGAGAGCTGGCAATTAAAACAGGGCAAACATATAAGGCACAACTATTTACCTCCCCAAAATAATTATTTGCTGGATCAGTGGCAAGACTACATGGCTTGCAGCTGCAAATTGACAAGTTCAAATTGACACATAGTGCATTTCAAAGACTCATCATCAAGATTCAACATTACTGTTAATCCTGTAAGAATTACCTTAAAATGAGATTTGACATTAGCGTGACAATCTTAAGCATGTTCATTAACAATGTGAGCTATGGAAAAGCTGGACATCTCTTAGTTTTTTTTCTTCATCCCACTTTTCATACTCTTCTTTGGTGTGATCAAAAACCATCCATATTGGATTTCATTGCTCTCATTTATAAAAAGAAATCCTTTATGGTTGCAATACGACATATCAATGTGCATTGAGTTTTTGTCATACGTTAGAATGGGAAATCCCTGGATGCATAGGACTTTGAAACTTGCTTCTTGCCTGCACTTGTACACAGAAATATGAATACGGATTTCCTGAGCCGTATTAACCAAAGAGATCTAGATACAGGAGCATTATTTGAACAAAAAACAGCCCCAGACTTAACCTAGGACTCTGCTTTATAATCTACATTGGAAGCCAATAAAACAGGATACAATCTTCTTTGAGGGTAAAGGGACCTGACTGGTTTCACAGGTTCCCATGGCTTGGTGGGTGGGTTTCAGAGTCAACCTGATCTACCAGAGGCAGTGTATTTTCTTAAAGCACATTGAGATCCAGGGATTTTTCGGTTAGTTTTGCACTATGTGTACCTTCAAGTCAACTGACAATTTATGGTGACCCCTTGTCTAAGACAAATATAGGACAAGGTATATTCAGGGGTGATTTTGCTTGTTGCTTCCTCTGTGATACAGTTTATGCTTGGCGGTCTCTGCTGACCATGTTTAAGCTTTCAAGATCAGATAAGATCTGGTACCTTTAGGTCATGTTGGTTCTGCTAGAGCAGGGGTCCTCAAACTAAGGCCCGGGGGTCGAATATGGCCCTCCAAGGTCATTTACCCGGCCCTCGCTCAGGGTCAACCTAAGTGTGAAATGGCTTGAAAGCTCACAACAACAACAACAACAACAACAACAACAACAACAACCCTAACTCATGAGCCAAAAGCAGGCCCACACTTCCCATTGAATTACTAATAAGTTTATATTTGTTTAAATTGTTCTTCATTTTAATTATTGTATTGTTTTAAAGTGTTTTTTTTGCACTACAAATAAGATATGTGCAGTGTGCATAGGAATTCATTCATTTTTTTTTCCAAATTATAATCCGGCCCTCCAACAGTTTGAGGGACTGTGACCTGGCCCTCTATTTAAAAAGTTTGAGGACCCCTGTGCTAGAGGAACGCTGGCTGACGTTCAAGCTTTGGACTTCTTTATACTCTCCTTGCACTCTTCCCCAGCTGCTAGGCTTATTGACTAGTGACGGAGGAAAAGATTGAGCCTATGGACCTAATGGCTGGCCCTGGCTTATTCCCATGGCAAAGGATTTACTCACACTTCTGTCTCATTCACCCAGCCAGGCAACACATGGAATCAGGCCCATACTTAGCATGGACTGTCATGGCTTTTTATATTTTAACAAATACTTTTCTTTGTCGGCCATATCCATATAGCACCCAACAAACTACTGGTTCTGCTACTATGATTTCATACAATGGAAAGGCAAACCTAGAAAAGATCTCTGTGTGGGAACAGAGAAGCACCAAGAAAGAAAGACTCAATATCTGAACAAACAGTGAAACAGAGTACTGCTACAGGCTTGAAGTGCTATTGAAGCATCTAATAATATGTGGCAAAATATACGAAAAGACTGCCCACATTTGATTCACTGACAAATTTTACGGGAAATTTGAACATGTATGCATCAAAGGTTTCCTGTTAAGACAGACTTTTCGGAAGAGAATTTTCCAAAGTGGTCATTCAGGAGTACGGTGCAACTTGTAATAGGATAGTTGTGAGTCAGTGGGCAGTAAGGGCCTACATTAAATATATATGTTTAAATGCACAGTTTAAGCCCTTAGGTTTTTTGTTTTGCATTCTTTTGTTTATGACTAGCAAGAAGATTTTAGTCTTCCGACTGAGAGATCAATGTATCAGCTGGAAATGTTATTCTGCTTTTCAAAACAAAGCTTTAGCATTTGGCCAAGTGGCACATCTAATAATGATTGAATTATTCAACACCAAAGTTAGTATGAAAGGTTAATAGGGATGAAACTCAGTACAGATTGTTTTTAATACAGAAATATGTAAGAAATGGATATTCTATTCCTGTAAAAAACCATCTATTCTACTTAAACTACTCACTTTTGGGAAAACTGATGATGCAAAATGTTGACAGTTGTAAACTTTATATTGTATGTCACCATGTTAAAAAGGTTGAAATACACAGTAACAGTTTTCAGGTCTGGAAGACGGAGCCAGATTATAGCTCTGAAAGAAAAGGTTAAACCACAAATTTCAGGGCAAATTCAGACAACCAATTACTAATCTGACAATGGGATGACAACCTGATTACAAGAGTTTTCCTTATTGCTGGCTACATGAAAACAGTTATTATCAAGGAATACAGCGCATGGCAGAGGCTCGCCTCTGACCAGGTTCATTACATAAACGGTGGTCACATGAGTGACCACCAATAGTCAGAAGAGTTCCTGTGGCTTGGAAAAAAATGGCATTTTCCTACGTTCAAGCATTTCACTGGTGTGAAATAATGGCATTACTTTCTCACATACCTGCAATCCACCTTCTAGGATATTTAAGTCTGTTCCTATCACTTTAAGGCATTCATATCATGGATTCACACAGCATTTACGAGTTCCAGAAAAACAACACAGCAATGCTTTTGTCTGAAGATATGGTTCCTTAGGCAGAGGGAGAAGGGAAACAGTAAAAATTATCAAGTACCACATACCAGCTGTGGCTTAAACATTTAGTACCTTGATTCTTGAATGCATTCATCAAATATTATATCAAAGCAGAGTATTGTCTCCATGGACTGGTTGTGCCTAGCCAGATATTCAAACAGGTCTGGAGAACCAGAGATTGAACCTGAAATTTCCTGAATGGATTTTGAGGGTTGAGTTACAGCCCTGTTTGCAATCTGGCCCCATGTTATGGGCCTGAATGTAACAAAGACATATGAGATGCGATACTTTCAATAAAGGGAGAAAATGCATATATGAAACAAGCCACAATGAAAGAGTAATAAAACCAAAGATTTGTCATTTCCTTTTGTGATCTTTTGGTTGACGTTGCAATATGGAATCCTGAGTCATCGTCCTTCAGCTTTCAACGGAAGTGCAATTTCTCCCCTACAAACAAATAAAAAACCCTTATGTTTTATTTCCACTGTTACTGGAGAACCGGTCCCCTGAAATGTTTAAACCGTGGTTGAAAGGAGTCATTTTACATAACGACACCACTTCGTGAAGGAGCCCACCCTCTTCCAGGATTTCATTTTCTGTTCTTGGTTCTCTTTCCCATGGAACTAGAGTAGATGGATTTGGGCTCATGTTCGAGGAAGCCCCATCTGCTGAGGTATTGCTTAGTGTTTCGTTCCACGTAGTCTTCCTTCCTTGAAACGCTCCTAGAGAACACAGCTCCACAGTTTCCTGAGATGAGGCTGGAAATTCGGTATGAGTTTTAGGAAAGTCCCCGCTGTCAATGACAGAGAATCTGGTGGGACTTCCTTTACACAGGACCGAGAGAGATTCCCTGTGACTACTAGAAGAAACACATTTCCTTGGTGACGGAAGAAGCTGCTTTGCACTGAAGATGCCATCTTCTTGCCCAAGATTCCAGTTTGCTGTGTCTGAAGTCCGACTGCTGCAAAGCAGAGCTATATTGCTCTCACTTGGTGTGTTAGATTTATTCTGAAATGAAGAAAGAATGTTTATCCCACATGGTTTCTTTGCACTGAAACCTCAGAAACAAACATTTTTATTGTAGAATTATGCAGGATATACATATTGACTGAGCAAAAAGAGAACAATTTGGTGCACTGACTATCTGTTATTAATCCTCCTAGTTGTGAGATTAATAATGGGACAGCAATCCCTGGGCCACATTCTCTTAAGAGGATTCAAACTTTGATTAATCTTTCCCCATCCCAGATTGAATCTAACTTCATGGTAAAAAAGTAGAGAGGTTACATCAGTGTTTCTCAAAGGGTTTTACAGTCAAAACATACTTTGTATTACATTCAGGAGCACATGTTATTCTTACACACAGTGCTTTGGCTTTCCAGAAGCCTTTCATTAATGTATTTATCATGTCACACAACCTCAGTGCTCTTCAAGCTAACAGATGTGGCAAACCGGAAATTTATTTCCAATGTGCCATCGACTAGTAACCTATTTCTGACACATTGATATAATATGAGGGTGGGTCAAAAATAATGCCTCAATCACACTAACTAAATAATGCCTCAATCACACTGTCCTTAAATGCACCTTATTAATGACCTAGGATTGTTTTTGCATGCCCATCACTTCCCTAATCATATTTTACCTGCCATATCCAGCATATTTTAAAATTTTAATTATTACATTTGGCCCAGCCATAAGTTTTTAAATGTTGTCATGCTATTGTTATTGTTTATTGTTTATTTGCTGTTATGAGTTTTATCTACTGCTTGTATTGTTGTTGTTTGCTTTGTTATAGCTGTGTTGTGGGCTCAGCCTCATGTAAGCCGCACTGAGTCCCTTGGGGAGATGGTAGCAGGGTACAAATAAAGTATTATTATTATTATTATTATTATTATTTCTTTCCCAGCTACTGGACTATCTCTACATGCTATGATAGAGGTAACCTTTCTCTACTGAAATAGTCTTTTCTTTTTCCAATTGAGTAATTAGAACCATGAATCTGAAGCTAAAAGAAAGAGTCGCCATTGAATTTCTGGCAAAAGAAGGTTGTGCACCTATGGAAATCCATCATCGCTTGAAGAATGTTTATGATTTGGCCACTTCTGACTATGACCTCTGAAAGACAATGTATGTGATTCAATGACTTGAATGAGGTTCAAACAGCTTTAAAAATCATGAGTCAGGAAGCAAAACCCTGAATTTTTCCAAAATGGTTTTGATGCCTGGGTTAAATGATGGCCCAAGTGTGTCCAAATTGATAGTGACTATGTTGTATGGTAGTTTTGTGTAGAGGCCAGTTCAGGCTATGATCTGGAGCAACTTTTGCTGTTATAGGATCATTCGTAACATTTTTTATGACAGAGGAGGCAAAACCTTTTGACCCACCCACATATTAATTTTGTTTCCTGGAAATGCATCAGGATCTGACTCATGAAGCAGCAACACTTTTCCATGCATAGAAAGGTCTTTGATCCAGCAAAAGCTTCCAAGAGGAAAAGAACATTAGCCAGTTTCAGCCTTTTCTGTAGTCCTCTCATGACTTCCCAGAACTGTCCCTCTCCCCACCCAAGGGAACATTTTCAGGGGGAAAAGTGATTACAATGGGGAAGGAACTATTTCCTAGGATAGGGTCACTATCAGTCAGAGTTGGTTTCAAGACACAGATTAACAACAACGAAAACTTGTGTTTGGATCACTGAAATGTATATATGGCTTTGCCTAATGATTTCAGCAATGGAATACGATTCTGGAGACCAGGGTTCATATTCCTGCTCATCCATAGAAACCCACTAGGCGACCCTGGGCAAGTCACATTGTCCTAGCCTCAGAAACAGACTAAGGCAACTTCCCTCTGAACAATTCTTGCCCCTCCCCCCCCCCAAAAAAAATAAAGACACCCAGGTTTGCTTCAGTGATGGAAATGACTTAAAGATCCACAATAATGTGAGGCTATCTTTGAAAGTCATATTATGTTAATTCTTTTTCTCTCTGTTGCATTCCATTTGTTATGGAGTCTGCTTCAAGGATGAACTAATGTTTAAGTCCTAAACTCCTTGGGGTCAGGTAATTTGTAGGATTCCCTCTTCTCATGCATGTCTACTTCAACTTTTGTGTTAGTTTTGAGACATTTCTCTCATCCAATGATGAGTTGTTGGCAACAGCTGAACCTTTCCAATGGTGGCACCCTTGTTGTGAATGCCCTTCCCTGGAACTAGTGTCTCTTCAGTAGTTTCAGTCCTGCCTGCCCCCCCCCCCCCGCCTTTTCAATTTTAATTTGAACTTCCTTGCCCAAATGTAATTCATTTTATTTGGGACTCATGCTGCTGTCAGTTTTCTGTTTTGGACTTTTTAAAAGGTTTTAAAATGGTTTGCCCAATGTTACTTGAATATTTTGCCACCAAAGGCTGCGTTATTATGTAAAACAGCCATCCCAAGATGCCGCCCAGCGGCGGCCCAAGACGGTATGCAAATTACGCTTTTGCGTAGGGCGCCTGTTTGAGGGGGCGCACTTGAGGAGCTCCCACACATGGCTTTGCAATTTTCGGAGGCCCGGCTAGGAAGGAGCACTGCTTAGGCGGCATTCCTTCCGAGCCAGGCCTCGCGATTCTTGCGTCTTATCCCATGAGACATTGTTGTCTCGCGGAAGAGGACGCGAGAATTGCCTGGCTAGGAAGGAGAGCGGCCTAAGCAGTGCTCCTTCCTAGCCAGGCCTTTGCGATTTTCGGGAGGCCTGCTAGGAAGGAGCGCTGCTTAGGGTGCATTCCTTCCAAGCCAGGCCTCGATTCTTGCGTCTTCTCCTGCGAGACAACAATGTCGCGGGAGAAGACGCGAGAATCGTGAGGCCTGGCTAGGGAGGAGAGTGGCCTAAGCAGCGCTCCTTCCTAGCCAAGCTTCACAATTTTCGGGAGGCCTGGCTAGGAAGGAGCGCTGCTTAGGGCGCATTCCTTCCAAGCCAGGCCTTGCGATTCTTGCGTCTTCTCCTGCGAGACAACAATGTCTTTCAGGAGAAGACGCGAGAATCGCTAGAGAGGAGAGTGGAGTGGCCTAAGCAGCGCTCCTTCCTAGCCAGGCTTCACGATTTTCGGGAGGCGTTGCTAGGAAGGAGCGCTGCTTAAGGCACATTCCTTCCAAGCCAGGCTTCGCGATTCTTGCGTCTTCTCCTGCGAGACAACATTTCTCGCGGGAGAAGACGCGAGAATCGCGAGGCCTGGCTTGGAAGGAATGCGCCTAAGCAGCGCTCCTTCCTAGCCAGGCCTCCCGAAAATCGCGAAGCCTGGCTAGGAAGGAGCGCTGCTTAGGCCGCTCTCCTTCCTAGCCAGGCCTCGCAATTCATTGTGTGTGTGTGTATATATATATATATATATATATATATATATATAGAGAGAGAGAGAGAGAGAGAGAGAGAGAGAGAGAGCGAGAGATAGATAGAGGAATTTTAATGCATAGTTACATAATATATATATATATTATATATATATATATATATATAGAGAGAGAGAGAGAGAGAGAGAGAGAGTGATTGGTTTGGGGGGGGCGCCAAAATACTGTTTGCTTACCATTGAAAATTACCTAGGGCCGCCTCTGATGCCGCCCTCCAGATATGTTGAGCTACAATTCCAGTCACTCCAGCTTGCCTGCCTATACAATCTTAGGATGGTGGTTGTTATAAAGCAACTCATCTGTAAAGCACCAACTTGGAGAAGCAAAGTGTAAATCACAGACTCACTGAATTACAAGAACTGGAGGAGACCACAAGGGTCATTTAAGTGAAACCAGCTACCAAGCAGGAATATACAGCTAAATCAGCCCCTAAAAAAATGTCTAGCCCACCTCTGTTTAAAGACTTGAAAAAAATAGGTCCAGACTAACCTTTGTCTTATAATCAATATCATCCATTGATCGAAAGAAGTCCAGGCTCTTTGCTCCTGAGAGTTTTCCTTGATCAGAACTGTGCGTACTCAAAGTATCCAAAATCTCTCCCAGCAAGTCCATTTCCCCAGGGGGAACAGATGTTTTGGCCATTTCCCCAGAGTCATCGCTATCGTACAAATAACAAGATGTTTCCTCACTGTCTTCAGATGACAACCTAAAGCAAAAACAGAAAATCACTCGTTCGTGGTCATACTTTATGACAATAAATGAATTTGAAAATTAATGAAGCATTTACAGGATAATTATTATAAGGATAATTATAATGTCTTCTCGGACAACTTTCAAACGTTTGTGTTCATCCTCAAATTGTTTCAGCAGAATATTATAAAGATTCAGCATCTAGCATACATATCAAATCAATGTTTTTCAGTTACCTATTTAACTGGCATGTGTGCGCAAACACATGTACAGAGCATATTTTAAATTATTCTGTAATTTCTGATAGAAATATAATAAATTCATATTGTGGTTTTTGTCCATATTAGTGAGATGTAGCAAATTTTGAATGTTTTATCACCCTGCAAAGAAGAGATAAGAATGCATTTTTGGTCTTTTGCTTAAAAGGGAAAACTAAAAAATGGTTTATTGCCAAGGGCAGAAACAAAAAAAAATGTACACCTATAATGCATTGTGACAGTGCTGTGATGCATATATTTTGTGTAAAAATCTTTGTAAAAGTCTAGACACAGAAGAGACTATTTTAAAAATTTGTGTTCACAAATACTGTTGAGAGAAGGCTTTTAGAAGTTCAAGAAGCTATATATTATTATGTTTTCACTAACTCTTATGACGGACCACAATTATTTTTTTTAACAGAAAAGGGCATTAGGGGATTTTAGAACACTGTTCCCTAAACTTCTCATAGCTGAGGACACTTCTTCTGAAGACACATTTCATTGTTAGAGATGACAAACTAAGCAATTAAATGCTAATCAAGGTGGTCAGTTGAAACATTCACACCTAGCTCCAGCAGACAAAAGTCCTTTGTCCCACCCTGGTCATTCCACAGATATATAAACCCATTTTCCTACTTCCAACAGACCTCACTACCTCTGAGGATGCTTGTTATAGATACAGCCGAAACGTCAGGAGAAAATGCCTCTAGACCTTGGCCATATAGCCCGAAAAAACCTACAATAACCCAGACAAACTAACTTTTGCCAACTAGTCCTCAATGTTTTTCCTGAGTTGCTGCTCTGATCTTGTAACTGGAAAACAGAAACTCTGAAGTGCTGACTTGTGAAGAGTTTTAATATAAATCTGTCATGGTTAATACTGATGAGGAGCTGGAAGTTGAGCTTTAATAGATGGCAAAAACAGGTGCAGCCAGAGACTGAAGAGGTCACTACCCCAAGTGGACAATTAAAGTCTTACCATTCACAACAAAGGCAGGATTGGGACCTTGAGTTGGGAGACCAAGGGTTAAGTATTATGGACTGGCTACAGTTAACGACAGATGGGATTCAAGTGCAGAGATCTAGTTGTTTGGCTGAGAAGAGGGCCAACAGTTGGCAGCACTTGAGAAACCTGCATAAGTAGCTGAAGTCTGAAATAACTAGTTGTGGGTAGCAACGTGGGTTTTTGGAGCTACAGCCTTGATGTATGTTGGATGTTGGGATATCCCTGGAAACCGTGTTAGTGAGCTATATTATCTTTGGAATATTGGAACAGACATATGGTTTACTCTTGTGTCTCCCCCTTGCTTGGCTGACTGATTACTTTGTTGACCTCAGACTGCCCCTGGACCACGTTTGTGTGCTTGGCTGCTTTACAGAGACAAGCTGGCAAGACTCTGACAACATCCTTCTTTAAGGGTGGACAATTCTCCAACCACATCACATTGTAGGTGTCATGACCAGAGGTCTGGTGGGTTTTGTTCAGCTGCTGTAGAATGCTTGGAAGGGGTTAATCTCTCTCTGGTTAACAAGAGGTCAATTTGACCTTCTTTCCAAGTAAGGGTTCACAAGCAGCAATGATGGACTAATATAGGATGCCGTTGTGATTAGCTGCATAAAAGAGCTCGCAAGAATCATAGAATCAAAGAGTTGGAAGAGACCTCATGGGCCATCCAGTCCAACCCCCTGCCAAGAAGCAGGAATATTGCATTCAAATCACCCCTGACAGATGGCCATCCAGCCTCTGTTTAAAAGCTTCCAAAGAAGGAGCCTCCACCACACTCCGGGACAGAGAGTTCCACTGCTGAACGGCTCTCACAGTCAGGAAGTTCTTCCTCATGTTCAGATGGAATCTCCTTTCTTGTAGTTTGAAGCCATTGTTTCGTGTTCCAGTCTCCAGGGAAGCAGGAAACAAGCTTGCTCCCTCCTCCCTGTGGCTTCCTCTCACATATTTATACACGGCTATCACATCTCCTCTCAGCCGTCTCAGACTGCTCTTTGGGAGGACAGTATTTATTGTATTGATATGTGTATCATGGCTGTTTTTCTCCTAGTCTGAGTGTATCCTTATGCTCAGAACTGATACCTGATATCTTGTTTCGTGCCTTGATGAACCCTGGAACTTGGCTATGAGGATTCTGATTTCCAGACCTGTTTCCTGAGATCTTGTTTTGTGAATTGATGAACCCTGGACTTGGCTGTGTGCTCACTGACTTGAAAACCTGTGTTGGGATATAGACGGACTTTTTGGTGTGACTCCTGGATTGGAAAGACACTTCGAGCTTCTGGATAATGGACATTGCTTTACCTGAATTACCTAACATTATTTTGGGAACTTTGCTTGTGCAATTGAACTTAGGGCTTTGATTTATAACCTCAGCCGCGTGTTATCGTTATGTTTTGTAGATGTACACTAAAGAGACTAAGTGTTTAAGTTACTGCTTTCAATAAAGGTGTTTATGACCTGCAGAGCCCTGAAATGAGACAATAAGGGTGCATCCTGACTGATTCTCTTTATACCCAAAGCAAAAGCAAGGCCAGCTTTAAGGAGTATGATGAGGATCACAAAATATACAGAAATACAGTGGGAAATACTTTCTCTGTCTGGATGTGTGAAGGCAATCTCAAGAACAATATATTTCGGGGCACAATGATTATTATTTCATGATGCAGTAAGATATCCTGGCTGATGATCTGTCTGATAATATTTTTCATATGATTTGGATTTTCCTAGTAAATCTCGTTTTTCTCACTTTTATATAGCATTTATTTTTGTTACTTTTCAAAAAAAGATATTGCTTAGAATTCTTCTATATGATATGCTCTTCTGATATCTGAATGATGTCTGACATTGGGAAGTTTTAGCAACGCCACATTTTTCATTACTTGGATAACTGTCAGACTTCACAAAAATAGCTCAAAAGTCCCTTCACCAAGAAAATTATCTTTACTAATCTGACTTGTTTATATTTCCTTTGAGCTGAAATCAGCTTCAATCGCACTGAACAATTTAATAAATCAACTTACTTGCTTCCTCTGTCCATTTCGTCATCAGCATCTTCATCCAATGCAGAATCAAGATTATGCATGTAAGGATGAAGATGTCCAAACCGCGCCTGCAAAAGAAATATTACTCTTAGAGTTTCTTTGCTGCTTTTCCTGTAGCCTGCCAAAGGATCCTGACAGCAGCATCCATAAGTAAGGCTGTCTAGCAATTCCAATCAAAGCATCCACAGAGTCTGTTGCAGTCATATGTGAGGTATGCAAATAAATTCATCATGTATCCAAAGATTTTAAGACCAGATGGAGACTATGGATAGATTGATTCATATGACAATTGTTCACCCTCCACAAGAGGCAGAGGACAAGGAACAGCTGGTCTCTGGCCTGGGCTGAAATTGCAGCTCAAGCATGGATGAATTTTGGATGTCCTTAGTTGTATACAAGTCAAATTTTTGAAACTATTACTCAAAATAACTTTTTGAGTTAAAACCAGTACATTAATGGTACCCTAAAACACAGTAGACATTTCTTGAATAGCATGGGAAACACACGAAAATACAAACAATAAAAAATCACCTTCAGGAAAATTAAAACAACTAGCTATATATTGACCTCTTGGAAATATTATCTTGCAAACAAAGTCAAGAGTAAAACCTAAGTGGACTTCTCTTAAGGAAGGAAGATACAAACAAGAACTATTATGCAAAAGTCCTGCTTAAAGCGATGAAATCGGAAATGGAACTGACCACCATCATAAACTGAAAAGAAGAACAATGGGAACAAATATATCCTTGAGAATAAAAACATTGCCATAATTATTCCTTTATTTGTTAATTGTTGTCAAGTCAACTTTGATTTATGGTGACGCTATAAGTAAGAAACCTCCAAGTCACCAAGTTATCAGATCTTGCAGACTCAGGGCTGTGGCTTCCTTTTTTGAGTCTATCCAAACAGAATAGTCTACTTTATGAAGCATTATTGTCTTTTCTAGTGAAACATGCCTTGTCCAAATATGACTAAAATACAACAGTTTCAGCTTAGTCATCTTGGCTTCAAGGTAGAGTTTGCTCCTGACTTTATTTTCATTTATTATTAATTTATTTATTACATTTTTCTGGCTTTCTCCTATCGAAAAGCTCAAGGCAGCTCACGAACAATAACACAAGTAACACAATATTGCTAAAACATGGTAATTAAATTATTTCTAAAAAAAACTTCAAGCACTGAACAACATACAATTATTTTAAAATATACAAAAATTAAAACTAGAATATCCTACCAATATCCTATCCACACCTGCACATTAAATGACTACCTAAAAAGATTGCCTGCCAGTGAAAGGAAATGGTCTAGCCTCCCATGGGAGGTCTTTCCAAAGGGCAGGAGTAGGCATGAAGAAGCTTTTCTCTCATTTTCTCACCAAGCAGACTTGTGATGATGGTGGGACCAAGAGAACGACGTAACTTACTGAAAAAAATTCAATCCTGATTCCTATTACAAAAATAACTAGGCTAGTAAACACCATGATTTTGATTAATTTTACTCTACTCCCTCTTAATTCTGTACTTCCAAGTTTGTCTAACACAAACATAGAATAGCAACATGATCTGAGAATTACATCCTGATCAAATAACATATCATGGGGATCCTGAAGGTTCACAGAATGGGTCTGAAAGCGAAGTCTATATATATAAAAATGCTCTGTGCATGAGTTCCTTAAAAACAAAAGAACCAATGAACGAAACCACACCAAATTTGGCAACAAAATGTCTCACAACACAAGGAGTGACCATCACTCAAAAATTTATGATTTTGTCATTTGGGAGTTGTAGTTCCTGGGATTTATAGTTCAACTCCACCAACAATAGAATTGAACCAAACTTGGCACACAGAACTCCCATGACCAACAGAATATACTGGAAGGGTTTGGTGGGCATTGACCTTGAGTTTGGGAGTTCACCTACATCCAGAGAGCACTGTGGACTCAAACAATGATGGATCTGGACCAAACTTGGCACGAATTCTCAATATGCCCAAATATGAACACAGATGGAGTTTGGGAATAGACCTTGACATTTGGGAGTTGTAGTTACTGGGATTTATAGTTCACCTACAACCAAGGAGCATTCTGAACCCCACCAACCAAAGAATTGGGGCAAACTTCCCACACAGAACCCCCATGACCAACAGAAAATACTTAAGGCCATCCAATCCAACTCTCTTCATCAGGGGAAGAAAACGTATACAAAGTCCTCCTGACAAAGAGCCATCCAGCCATAGATATAGATAGATGGATGGATGTATGGATAGATAGATATATAGATATGATTCACACACACACAGATATAGTATCATAGATTTGAAAGGGACCCTTAAAGAAGGACAATGATATGTTCCATGTTCCAGAGTAGGCAAACCAGACAATCTCCACATCAACACTGACAAAGAAACAACAAGAAATACTGTTTACCCACAAGCATAAAAAAATTACATATATTAAAAACCAACACTTTCTCATTCCCTTTATTTTCCAGATCAACAGACTGGGACACAGCAGTGCATGGCAGGGGACAGCTAGTGTATTATAAAAATGGAAGGCTAAAATAAAGGGAAGAAAATGTACATTTGGGCAATGAAGGAGAGCAGAACTAAAGGTGGAAAACTGCAAATGGGTGGAGACCATTTTTCATCTTCACAATCCTTCCACGAGCCATACCAGCATATCTGACATTACCAGAAATCATATTGCATCACTTCTTGTTTAGTTTCCAACCAAGTTACAGTGAACTGGGGGAACTGCTTTTACAGTAGATGGAGGACTTAGAGGGCTAGATGGAGGACTTGGAGGGCTATGCAGGTGGTGGGGAGGAACTATTTTTTGCTGCATTTTAAATCCATGAGGAGAGGGGAATTGAGCAAAAAAATCACTTCGGAAAAATCTGCCATTTGGGGAAAGTTTGGGTATTTTGAGGACTTCCATTGCATTTTTCAATACGCTCTGGGCTAGATTCAACCCACAGATGAACAAGGTGAAGTTAGTGTGAATATATTTCAAAAGGAAAATAAAATTACCAGGTAATATATCTATTCCAGTTGAAGGCCACTGCAAGCTCCTTCTACTTCCTGACAGGCTTTAAAAATGCTGACATTTAAAGTTTTATAAGGCTCTACATAAGGAACAATTGTTGTATAATATTACGGAAGAAATGTCAGTGTTTCCAATTTTTTTAAAAAAATGTTTAACAGTAGCATCCATCATTTAAACCCCTTTCAATGAGAAAACCATTTTATTATGCGTTACTTTGCCTGTTTTACAACATTTCTAGAGAAAACACATTGCTATTCTAATTTTAAGTCACTGAGAATAGCTGAGCCATTTCCCTTGGACCACCAAGAGTTTATCAAGGTAGCCGGTCCAAATGATAAACATTCATGAGTTCTCTCCAAAAGCAATAAATTATACGAAGCATTTATAAAAGTCTAAAGAAAGGGAATTTGGCACATTGAGTGGGGGACAAAAGAGCAAGACAATGTTCTCTAGAAAATGCACAAAGCAGCACTCTAGTCCATAAAGTGCTGGGCTAACAAGCAACCAAACTCATTTCAAAACTGAAAAGATGCTTGTAAATGTCATCATTCTGGTTAAACTTTGGAGGAAAAGCAGGGGGGAGGGCTGTGGAGAAAATCTGATAAGGGGCTTCCCTACCCTTTGCTTTGAACTAGTGCCAGTCCATTTCTGCTCCAGCAGGAGTCCTCCTTGCAAGCTGAGCACTTTATTGTTTCAGCCAAATTTCTGAGAGATGCTACTTCCATGTCCAGTCAATGCAAGAAGAAGAGAGTGCAAGAGCAAGAGAGATTAAAAATCAATTGTACAAGCGCAGACAGTGTTACTCTGTTGGTCCCTTTGCTGGGATTCTTCACCCAGGCATTGGACACTAATGACAGCTCATGCAGAGCTGTATAAAAGCCTCTCATGGCTCCCGTGAACGGTGAAGCCCTTGAGCCAATCTACAGGGAAGAGCTCACTGAAGGGTACCCATCCAACTGAGTAAGGTTTAGGCAGAATACTCTTCTGTACTCTCCAGGAGTACTCCTTCTAGCCGTAGGATTGTAAGAAAAGTGTGGATGGATGTCGAGAGGGAATGTTTGCCCATCAGATAGCAAGGGAAAAGGACTTATAGAGAGAATATACAATGATGTATTTACTTGTGTTGTCAATTATTACTTACATTCTCACTATTTCTCAAATGCAATACACGCATTGTGTATGGCTCTACTACTCTGCTCTGTTCATTTCAATGCTGCGAGGAAGGTGAGGTTGAAAGAAAATGACAGGCTCAAGGTCACCCAGTGGGTTTCATGGTCTACTAGGGGTCAGAATCTGAATGGTTGAAGTTCCAGTCCAATACCTCAATACCATTTTGTTGTTCATTCGTTCAGTCGTCTCCGACTCTTCGTGACCTCATGGACCAGCCCACGCCAGAGCTCCCTGTCGGCCGTCACCACCCCCAGCTCCTTCAAGGTCAGTCCAGTCACTTCAAGGATGCCATCCATCCATCTTGCCCTTGGTCGGCCCCTCTTCCTTTTACCTTCCACTTTCCCCAGCATAACTGTCTTCTCTAAGCTTTGCTGTCTCCTCATGATGTGGCCAAAGTACTTCAACTTTGTCTCTAGTATCCTTCCCTCCAATGAGCAGCCGGGCTTTATTTCCTGGAGGATGGACTGGTTGGCACTCTCAGAACTTTCCTCCAACACCACAGTTCAAAAGCATCTATCTTCCTTCGCTCAGGCTTCCCTAAGGTCCAGCTCTCACATCCGTAGGTTACTACAGGGAATACCATTGCTTTGACTATGCGGATCTTTGTTGCCAGTGTGATGTCTCTACTCTTTACTATTTTATCGAGATTGGACTTTGCTCTCCTCCCAATACCAATACCTCAATACCATACATGACATATATAGACAGGTAGTTTATACCAGTGTCTCTTATGCTACTGGTATCTGAAGTGGGGGTTGGGCAGGGATAAGTTTTCCTCCAGTGTGCCAAGGAATACCCCATATTTATGTCGGTTTACTCCAATTGTTTTTTGTTTTAGCAGCAAATGACTAATTG